TGAAAGTTTGCTACCCCACCCTCTCCCCCCCCCCAAAAGGCAGGGGGTTGTGCTTTAAAATATAGCGCACATGCCCAGTTCAGACGCTGGATCAAGTGGTCGCAGCCGGTCTTCATGGAGACGCGTCCCTTCCCAATGGCGAGATGCTTCCTTTTTAAGGAGTCAGGTCCTCTGTCTCATGACACTGGCAGCCTCTTCTCTCCATCCGCCCTCCCATCATTCCAGTTCAGTCCTGACTCCATGAAACACAGGCTTTGAATGTAACAGTGCATTTCAACGTGTGTTTTGAAACAGTTCTATTCAGTTCACTTCAACAAAAACCAATAAAGCCTCAGGTCTCATGCAGCGGGACCTATGCTAAGGCACTGGGTGACTATGGCGAGGAGGGGCATGGGCTGTGTCAGCTGTTGATGCCTCGACTTCCATAGTTTGTCGTATTTTGACTGTGGAGGAGAGAGCCCGCTGGCCTGCAGGTAGAGGAAGAGGCAGGGGTCTGCTTCCTGATTGGCTTCCTCATGGAAGTCCTTTACATCGAATTGACTTAATCAGCTGGAAACTGCAGTGAATTAGACTCCTGGGTAGTACTACTGGGCCAGCTCATGCTCTAAAAGAAGTTATTTGTTATCTGTAGCAATTGCCTGGGTAGATTTTTTTTTTTTAAAGTCACTGTATACGTCTATACTCTGGGCATTTCACAACAGAATTTGCATCGTAAAATGGGTATTCCCCAGATGACTTTTTAAAATGACAGTTACACACAATTGTTTAAAATAGTTAAGAGTGTATTTTACTTAGGTTTTTCTTTTAGAAAAAGAATATGAAAAGGAGAATTTGGTGAAGGCAAACTGCAGACAAGGCTATGGGCATCTAGGACTGTGGGGAGTGTTGGGTCTGAGGGTCTGGAGAGGTGAGGTTCAAAGTTGAACGGATAGGAGGTCAGGGTAACTTGCCTGCTTTGTGCATTTGCATGGCTGGATGTGCCAGCACTAAGAAATGGAAGCTATGTGATGTGGGGTTAGGAATGTGGGTTTGGGAGGAATAGGTCTGGGATTCCTTACATCTTCTTCAGCCTTGGAAGATTACTGAATGCTCCATTTTAAAGTAAGGGTAATGATTGTTGAGGAGTGACGATGGAAGCTTCTGTCCTGCCTGGTTCCACAGCAGCTTTGCCCCAAATAAACACATGGATGCCATATTAATATTTGTACTGTTTGGCCAATGGCTTAGGCTTTTTATTGGCTAGCTCTGTCTTAATTATTAACCAATTTATATTAATCTATGTATTGCCACGAGGCAGTGGCTTACCCATAAGTACGGTGTCTCTTCATGGCCCCTCCCTGTCTCTGTTTCCCTAGCCTTTTCCTGGTCTGGTAGCTCCCCCTTCCCCTGCCTATCTTTCTGCCTGGTTATTGGCCAATCAGTGTTGTTCTATTCATCAACCAGTAAGAGAAACATACATACATACATACATGCATACATGCATACATACATACATATGGACATCTCCCTCGTCTCCTCTTTTCTGTCTAAATAAAAAGAAAGATTTTAACTTTAACATAGTAGAATTATATATAATAAAACAGTTATCAAGTGAGAACTATAGTTAAAAACGTTTAGCCCTCAAACAAAACAGAAACGGAGGACAACTCATCCGAGTCCCTGCGGACAGGGGTGCAATGGAGCGATGAAGGGGGATGGTGTTCTAGCTTCATTTCTGACGCTGTTAACCGAGCACTCTGGGCAACTGTGACTCAAGGAGGAGAAAGGGTGTATTTAATCTTTTCTTCTTCCTTTTTTATATTGATTAAATTTATTTATTATTTTAAATCCTGACAGGGCTTCCCTTCCTTCCTCTCCTCTCCTATCCCTCTCCTTGGTCTCCCCCCCACCAACCAAATCCCCCCCCCCCCGTTTCTGTTCAGAAAGGGCCAGGCTTTCCATGGACACCAGCAAAACATGGCATATCAAATTGCGGTAAGACTAAACACTTCCCCTTCTATTAAGGCTGGGTAAGGCAACCCAGTATGAGGAATAGGTTCCCAAGGCCAGCCAAAGTGTTAGACACAGCCCCTGTCCCCACTGTTAGGAGCCCTGCAAGCAGACCAGGCTAAACAACTGACACATATATGCAGTGTCTAGGTCAGTCCCACACAGGCTCCCTGGTAGTTGGTTCAGACCCTGTGAGCTCCTATGAGCCCAGGTAAGTTGATTCTGTGTTTTCTTGTGATGTCCTTGACCCCTCTGGATCCTGCAATCATTCCTTCCTCTCTTCAGCAGGATTCCCCAAGCTTGGCCTAATGTTTGGCTATGGGTTTCTGCATCTGTTTCTATCAGTGACTGGATGAAGCCCCTCTGATGACAATTGAGCCTGGCACAAACTAAGAATACAGCAGAGTATCATGAGGCATCATTACATTGACATTTTTTTTTCTCCAGTTGTGTTTGGTTCTATTCTTGGGTCTTCTCGCCTCTGGAAGTGCCAGTCACTGTCAGAGGTGGGCTCAGTCTTGTTGCATGTGTCTCAGGTTGGACAGTCATTGGTTGCACCACCTTTACCCCAGCACTGGAGAGATGGCTCAGGATTTAAAGGCTAGGCTCACAACCAAAGCTACAAGGGTTTATTTAATCTTGCTGGTTACAATTCAATGTTGAGGGAAGCTGGAACTTTCCAGCTCCTGTCTCACAGTGAGCAGGCCTGACTGATAATCTGTGTAGCATTAGCTTGAACCAGAGAACTTGCCCACAGCCAAGGAACACGGCAGAAGTCACGACGGAGGATGCTTTTCTTAGTTACTTTTCTGTTGCTGCGAGACGACACCATGACTATGGTAACTTAGAAAAGAAAGCATTGGCTTTGGGGCTCGCGGTCCCAAAGGTTTAGAGTCCCATGGCCGTCATGGTTGGGAACATGGTGACAGCCTGGCAGGCACAGACTGGTGGAGCAGTACACATCTCTATCCAAAAGCATGAGGCAGAGAGAACAGAGAATGACATGGGCTTTTGAAACCTCAAAGCCTGCCCTCAGTGACACACCTCCTTCCAACAAGGCCACACCTCCAACCCCTTCCCAACAGTTTCGTTACCTAGGCACCAAGTATTCAAACGTGGAGGCCATCTTCATTCAGCTCACCACAGTGCTGCTTGCCAGCCCTCTTGCAGGCTCACACTTACCTAGACTTCTCATACAGCTTAGGACCACTTGCCTAGGGAATGGTGTCTCTCACAGTGGGCTGGGCCCTCCTCTGTCTGTTAACAAAGCAGTCTCCCAGACACGCCTACAGGCCAATCAGATCTACGCAATCCTTTGAGGCTTTTTCTTAGATGACTTTGGCTGTGTTTAGTCAGCAATCAAACCTGATTACATGGTACATGGATTGTCATGATTCTATGGTTTCTGATCGGAGCCTCCGCGGGTTCAACACAGAGAGGCTTTCAGAGTTGGGAGAGAAGGGGCAGTGATGCTTGGGAAGTCGGGCAAATTTGCTTCTTCCTCTCTGTCTTGAATTCACTCAGCATTCCATTTAGATTAAGAGATCCCTTTTCACTTCTCTAGATGATCTGTTAGGGTTTTTAGTCCGTGCTGAGAAAGTACAAAGATAATTCGATCAGTCAGAAAGGCTTATGAAGCAGCCCTTTGGCCCATCTTCTGTTATATCCCACACTCTGTCACTGATGCACCTAGTCTGGATCTCTCAACTCTTGCCCTGTGGCTAAAAGGTGTGAATCTTCCCAAGCTTCCATCCATCTCTACCTCTTTGGCTTGGATCGATGTATAGCAAAGTGAGAGACCCTATTTTGGGGAATTCATGGGACCCTCCATTCAGCTTAGCATTTGTGAACTGTGGCCAAAACCTTTTTTTTTTTTTTCTGGGGGGATGGGTGGATCTGGGGGAGTTATACAGAATGCTGGCATGAAAGAGCTAACTCCCGAGGTCAGAGCTTATTCTTCACTCAGAGATGGTTTGATCTCTAACAGACCCAGCAAGTTAGTTCTACCCCCCAAAAGGTACTATCTTCAATGTTCAACATCTAGGCAATGATATAATATTCAATCATATCCGAACAATTAAAATGTCCTATACACATTGATGGGCCATTGGTACTGACAATGAGTGTTATCGTCCTTTTGGTTACTTCATTGTTATTTATTCAACATCTGTATCTATTTCCCCCTTCGTGTTTTGTTTTGATTACTCCAAGGTCACAATGGCTGACTTGACTGTCCCCTCTCCCGTCTCCCGATGCCCCTTTCTACATCTCTACCTTCTGATCTGCTAGATACACCCTGTGCTTGCGATGGCCCTCTTGTAAGTCATCATCCCTTTGCCCGAGACTCTAATTCTAATTCTGAAGTAGCCGTATCTTACTTCTATATAAATTAGGGTACAGGGGCAGGGAGATGGATCATGGTTGAAAGGGCTGATTGTTTTTACAGAGGACTGGAGTCTGGTTCCCAGCACCCACATCGAATAGCTCACAACTACCAGTGACTTCGGCTCCTGTGACCCGATGTCCTCTGCACACTGCTCTGATGTACACATGCCCCTTCAATAAAAAAAAAAAAAAATAAGAATGCTGATCTTAACATTTCCCCATGACTTTTAACCTTACCTGGTTTTCATCTTCATGTCAACATAAAACAATAGCTCCATTTGATATCCATTGTCCGCTTTTGCCACCCTTCACTAAAATGTCCGTTTTATGAACATTTCTGGCACTCAGTGTAACTTGGTAAAAAATTTCTTTTTTTTTCTGCATGACCAGAAAATGTTCACTGATCCCTTTAATGAGACACATAGGGGTGTGTGTGTGTGCGCGCACTGTGGGTAGTCAGAGTGTGTTGTAGTTGTTTCCAGGATTGTAACTCTTAAAGAATAGAGACATACACACGCTACTACTGGGCCATTCATTTAGGGAAGAAAGGGTTGTCGGTTGTGTGATTGGTTTGAGGGGTCGCACACCTAACGTTGTGTGCTTTGCTTTTCTCTTTTACCTCACAGCCTAGCCCTCGTCGTGAAAAGAGAGCCCTGCCCTGCTCCAGGTTTGTCAACCACATGAAGAGTTTTTCTGCATCACGTAAAACGGATAAATTACATTTTCTTCCATTTCCAGGTACATTAACCCCAGTTAAAGGCAAAAACCTTAAGTTTTCTCACCTTAGTATCTTCCAAAATGGCAATGAAAGAGGCGCCTCATTGGTCTATGAATTCTGCAACTCCAGGGGAAGGTTGGCTCAAGACATGGCTGGAGCCGTGGCTTGTGGACATCATTAGCGTTTTATCCCACTGATATGATTGGCTTCGTTAATTGTTGCTTTCATTTTTTTTTTTTTTTTTTAGAAACTGTAGCAATTTGTAGCCAGAGGCATTTATTATTCTTGGAGTTGATGATCTCAAAAGTAAAAGCTTGAAGCAGAGGCCTCTCTGAGTTTGAGCTTATCCTGCTTTGTGTAGTGAGTTCTGGATTACCCAGAGCCGCATAGTGAGACCCTGTCTCAAAATCCAAAATGAAGCAAACAAATGTAAAGCCTCATTTCTTCCCTTAATTGTAGCTTTATTTTATGTCTGTTGACTTTGTTTGGCCAAATTTGGGTCTCAAGGGCCTGGTAAAATGAGGTGTGTTAGGTAGATAACTGTGGGAACTGTACCTAAATTGTACCAAATGTGTGTGTTTAGATTGGGGACAGAGAGATAAAGGGACAGAGAGGCAAGGTTGGGGATGGCTTTCCAAACTAAATTGATGGAAGGCAAGCTTGTTCCAAAAATATAATCTGTGCCCTCTTATGTTATTAATTTTGAATGTTAGAAAGTTTTCATTTGCTTATTTACTTACACAATATCCTCATATAGTGTTAATCCCAAAGGTGGGTGGGCAGGATAACAGATGCAAATCATCGTGGCCAAATTAATTAAACAAGCAATTAATTAAAGCAAGCTTTTTAATTTGTGTACCTGGGCTGCCTCCTCCTAAGGTGGGGTTCAAGAGGTCAGCATTGAAAGTGGGAGAGACAAGGTTTCTTATAGTTCATGGGCTGGGGGTTTCCAAGTGGGCAGGGTTACAGGAGCCGAACAGGAGGCCAAAGTAAAGGACTCACGACAGGTAGCCAGAGGTGGTCATATGACCTTTTGCAAAAGAGATCCGGTTGCCATTCCAGGAACAGACAGTACAGAGTCATTTGTAGTTAAGGTTACAGGCGGGGCACAGCCTTGAGAAACAGAGGTTTCATCATAAACAGAGATGAACCTAGTTTGTCTTTACTATAAGATGGCTTTTAAGCCTCAGATGGAGGCAGGCTGGTTCTTCATTTGTTTCTTACATGTACTTTGGTATCTATCAGGGATATTGGAATGTCTTGTTGGTTTTGTGATTGTTTCAACATCCTGGATTGTATAATTTTGTTGAGATCTTTATCCAAGGCGTTGTTTCTATAGATCGGACAAACTGCAGCTCAAAAATGTGTTTATGGCTATGATAAGCACCTCTGTTCTAAACATACGCAGACCTTTCAGTCATGTTATTATATTAAATGATAACTATAACAGTATTTACATAACATTCATGCCGTCATCAGGTATTGCAGTAATCCAGAGATGACTTTGAACTGCATGGGAAGCCTTGCAGGTCATTTACAAGTACTATGCCTTCTCATGTGAGGGACATGGGCAACTTCAAGTTTTAGTTAGTGCCAATGAAAAAGCCGTCCAGGAAGTAGTCTCCTTTGGATACTAAAAGGCAATGGTAGTATGGATTTCATATTTCAGGGCTTGCTAGCACATGTTAGAGTGGATTTTGATGTACCCCACTCTTGTTAGTATTAGACAAAGACTCCACTAAGCATTTACTCACTTAGTTTCAGGCAATTGGTGTAACCCAATAAAAGTAACGCCAACATCTTAATTCTTTTCAAAGTACAAAGTATGGCCACAAATGGCCATTGCATCCATCTGAAATGTGTAGGTCTTCAAAATTCAGTGCACCGGGCTCTTTAGAGCTGAGGTTTTGGCTGTAACTATTTGAGAATTAGCCCTGGTTTAAAGTTGTGTAACTTCCACTGGTGGCTCTAAGTGCTTAAATATTCATGTTAAATTTGGTGATCTGAAGTCTTCATGTAAGCTGTGAGTAAGGGGCAGCTATGGGTGGGGATAGTTGGTCATTAGGGACTTGCCAGAGCTGAGACTCATACAGGGTTCTATGTAGCCCTTAGGACAAATGAACAGAGTTTTGGTTCTGGGCACTGTATCAGGATGGGGATCCAAGCTGGGTACTTGAAAGAGGGAAGACCCATGTGAGGGTGGCTGATAGGGAGGGAACCACCACTCTTTTCTTTAAACCAGGGAAGTGACGTGATTCATTTGTCCATATTAGCAGTTAAAGACAGATTGAAAGGCAAAACTACTCTTGCAGTTATCAGGGAAAACGATGACAGGAATGACCAGAGTTGACATGTAGGAGGTGCTGTTCACAGGATGTGATTGTGGACTGGGGCTAAGATCAAAAGCTTATGGGGGTGGTTATGTTTATACAACCATCAGTTTACCCCATAAGAGATGATTAAAACCTTCAGGCAACAGGCATCAAGCTAATATTTGGAAATATAGACATGAACAAGACAGGTATGGTTCCTGTCCTCTTGAAATGTGCCTTTTAAAGTAAGGTTAAAAGTGATAAGTAAACAAGTAAATTATCAAGGTTACAATAAATCATAGCAAAAGCTATGAGGAAGTTTTCTTAGGCACCTTTGTAATCAGTCCCTGCTCAACCCCAGACTCTGATAAGAGACAGGCTATTTAATATCGCCATAGTTCTCTCATTTCTAGGTTTTCATATCAATGGAATCATTCGCCATGCAATTTCTTAAATCTAACTTTCTTCATTCAGTATAATGCATTTCAGATCTATTGTGGGAATGTTGAGTAATTGCCTATTGCATGGATTTACTGTGGTTTATCCAGCCATCTGATGATTTTTTTTTTCCAGCGAGAGGCTTTGTTGAGGCTACTGAAATGTTAGTTTAGATTGTGAGGCATATAGCTGGACACTAATTGGTGAATTATACACTATGCAAATCCCACTTCGGTAAATCTTAATATTAAAGCAGCTTCTATACAATTTTTCAAAAACTTGAAAGATAAACTCAAGAAAAATGAACAACAGATTAACTAGTGTAACGGAGAGAGTCCAGTGGGCCTGGGGCTGGTTAATATCTGGAGGTTAAGAAAACTGACATTCACTCTGGAGGAGGGAAGGGTTAGCTGAACTGAAAAGCGATTGGTGCTGAGGTTATGCAGAGCTTTGTCAGTCACAGGGAAGCATTCTGGATTTTGTCCTAAGTTCCATGGTGACACTGAAGTCACAGCCAAAGGTGTTCCTCTTCCCGCTACTTTTGGTTTGTGTCCCTACCTGGAGCAGAAACCGGAAGCAGGAAGGCTGCAGAAAAGCACAAAGGGACCCGGAGGGATGCGATGTCAGCGGTGTATGTGTGTGTGTGTGTGTGTGTGTGTGTGAGCGGGTGGAGGTGGAGACGGAGATAGATATAAATGCGGATAATGGTGTACTCAAGTGTGTGCACACATCCACACAGAGACATACTCAGTCACCATCACAAACCACACTAGTAGAGACCAGTGTGACAGCGAGCTCCTCTGCCACAGTCCGTGTATTCTCCAACATTTAGAATTCCAGGGCGAGTCACACAATTAAAACACACCTTCAGTTAGGGACATGGCGACTCATCTAAAGGAAAGACGGATTCCTCTGATGCGTGCGTTTCAATGTTATCTGAGTCAAGCTCCATATTGGACATTGGGGCAGTCCTAGGAAAATATATGGATAAAGTCTTACAGCTGTAGGGAAGTGTAAAATTATTCCCAAAGGAGATCACCAAAGTACCCAGCTTTCTGGTGAACTCTATCAGTTGAGGTTGACTTGGTGACTGTCACTTGAGAGGCATCATCCCAGCTGTTGACATCTGTCTGTGCAGTAGGGTGAGGAACCAGAGTGTGGAGAACATGGGAAGGCAGGGAGAGGGAAGGGAGAAGGAGAGCTAGGATCTTGTCAACCTGGAGCCCTCATTCTCCCTAGAGCTCAGAGCCAGGAATGATCCATGTTCCTATAGGTTTGGAGAAGTCTTTTGTGTTTCCTGCCAGAGTCACCATTGTGTCCACACAGCACTGGCCGTGGTCTCAGCGGAATTCATTCTCTATGCACGTCTCATGAGTCTTGGTGATCCCTGCACTAAGCCCACATTAATTTCCCAGGGAAGTCCCACTTTCGATCCTACCATTTTGCGTCCTGCCTTAGCTTGTTTCCACACATACACCCTACGGAAGGTGGTCCAGCCTGGCAGAGTCTCATTTGCTGCCCTCCTCTCTTTCTCTGAAGATGTCTTGCTTTCTTTGCCATAGCTGAGAGCTCCCATTCCCACTCCCCACGCTTGTGAGAATATGCTCAGATTTTGGTGGGGGCTCTTCGGGTTGCTCACTCCAAGGGGCTAATTCCCGCCAGGATCTGAAATGTGTCTATACCCTTCTCGTCACTTTCTAGCAAGAGCTTGGGGTAGGATTTGACACCTCACCTCTTGGTGACATGGGTTGACAGACGTGCATCTGGGGGACAGCTTCCAGTTGCTCAGCTTTTGGGAGGAAATGGTGCAAATACAAACTCAGGGCTTAGTTCTTGGGAAATTCAGGAAGTGTGTCCCAGAAAGGGAGGGGAGGAGGACATTTGTCAAAGTGCTTGTGCCCCTGGGTCCTCTTGTGAATGCTCTCTTCTCTTTGTACCTGCCAGACTCTGCAGAATGAAACTCACACGTGGGTTTTGATCCTGCAGTCTTCCTTAGCATGCTGGATTAGTCACATGGATTAATAACACGCAGTCACCTTCACTCTCTGCTGCCTCCTGGCCCCGTGCTCACTCCTCCCCCCAACTCTGTTTGTGAATTCTGTGTAACTCTGTGAACAAAAGGAACCGCACATTGCGAGTAACACGGCAGTTGGCCCGCTGGTCCATCTCTCTGGAAGATGGAACCTGAATTTCCTATTGTGAAAAGCCCTTGTTTGTGTCTGGATGATAGCTGATTGCTACTACTTGCAGATTATTTAAGATGTCTTCGG